AAACAAAACACAAGCCCCTGGGCTATAACATAACTTCAAACTTTCCGTCTAAAATCTCACTGATGCCCCAGGGTTGCTCCACCCCTTACCCATCTCTGGAACTGCTCGTATAGTTCAGACTTCCTTTTACTCACTCCGGCAGGGCTCCTTCCCCTTTTGGCTGCCAGCAGGGAACTGCCTGCCTGAACTCAGTCCTGGGGTTTAAATGGGAGCCAGGCCATGCCCCTTCTGGTCAGCTGATAGCTAGCAGGTGTGGGTCACTGGTTCCCTCCAGTTGCCTTAGCAACCAGCACCTGAGTGCTTATTCTGGCTCTACAAGTAGCAGGCACCTTAGTGCTCTGCTACAGGGCACTTGAAATGTTTTGGAAGTTTTGAAACATTTCAAGTTTCAAAGCCATACTTGCTTGGCTTCAGCACTGGTCCCAGTCGGCAGCCTGCTATCATCCTGCACACAGATCCAGGAGCCCACACCCCCAGGAGGAGTCTGACACAGCCCCAGAGCCCTCCCAGGTGGGTGGGCCCCCAGATTTGTGTGTGGGATGACAGGAGGTTGCCGCTGCTGCCTGGAACTGGTGCTGGGCACAGCCAGCACCCAGAAGATAGCTGCTGCTACTGGCCCCAGGCAGCAAGAGCAGCCTCCTGTCATCCCACACACAAATCTGCAGGTCTGCATCCCTGGGAGGGCTGTGGGGCTGTGCTAGACTCCTCCTGTGGGTATGGGCCTTTGCATCTGCACAAAGGATGACAGGAGCCTGCTGCTGCCACCTGGGACCAGCACTGGGCGCAGCCTGCGCCCAGCACCAGGAACATTCCTGCTGCAACTGGCCTCAGGCAGCAGTGGCAGGTTCCTGTTATCCCACATGCAGATCTGGGGGCCAGCACCCCCAGGTCTGCACGTGGGATGACAGGAGGCTGCCCCTGATCGCCATCATCCCGCACGCAGATCCAGGAGCCCACACCCTCAGGAGGAATCTGGCAACTGTTTGAGGTGCAGTTTTCCAGAAACCTTTGCACCTATCTCCTTGACACTTGGCAGGCATCATGCCTGCAGATGGGGCTACCATCCCTCCAATTTTTATATACATTAGGCAAGAAATGAAAAAGTTACAGGCATTTTCATGATTCCACATTATAGCCTATGGCGAAACACTGAAGCGGCAAAACAGTTTTGATGAAATGGAACGGTGCTTTGAAACTAAATGAAACAAAACCAAACACTGTCCCTTCTAAATGGCGAGATGGAAGTCTCAATGCAATGGTGCTGTTCTGCTCAGCCCTAATATACATATATATATATCTACTTTGATTATTTTATAAAGTGCAAATTATGTATGCCTTCTCCATATATAAATTTAGCCACTAGTGAAAATCCACTGATTCTTATAAAATTCGATCAAAATTTCTGCCAACGTTCCAAGGTTATATACTGTCCTTAGATTAGAGTAATGCGAAATATCTGATCATTTCAAACCTAACTGCATAAATACTCAAAAATAATCCCTAGAGATGGACTTTGTGTCTTTGCTTGAAAAAGTCTGACAGTGCACTATGATCTCAGAACTAGTACATCAGTGAAATTCCTCTCCTCTTCCCTCATCAAAAAGCCTGTTAAGTTTCTCTCAACAAGCCACTAAAATGAAGCATTTAAAATCAGTCAAGTGCAGAATAATCTTGATTTTGGAATCAGACAGCTGGGAAGGTTCCCTCTGGAGATGTTAAGTATATAAAATTTTAATCTCCAAGCAAAACTGAAGGGGTCAGTTACTTTGGTTCCCAACTGCAATACCAAACTGAAAGATATATTTCATGAACTTGATTCTGCAGATTTGTTATAGCTCTAATTGTTAAACAACTGTATTAGGGATACTGTGGTTGGCTTCATTAATAAGAACAAGATATAGTCAGATTACAATGATAAAAGCCAAGGCTGAAGCTTTTCTGAAGCTTTCCAAGATGAAGGAGATAGATGGAACCAAATCTTAATAGAAATATGCTTCTGGGATAATCCAGGGGTTGGAACAAGGAGATAAGGATAGGACAAGTACCAGAAGTGATAGGAAGTATAGCACTTTCTTATCTATTAATCCATCTCTTATCTATCCATTGATCCTGATAAATTTATCAGGATCACCTAGATCATAAATATCCACATGACAAAGTCTAGGATAAGAGACAAAATATTCATATTTAGTATACTGTTAAGACTGTAACACAAAATAATTACACATTTTAGATGCAAATTATTTAAAAATGTAAAATATACCTTCAAACTCAATAGATATTCACAGACTGCATAACAAATACCAATACCTTCTTCAGTACTGGTACCTCTGCCAAGTTCATCGATTATAATCAGTGATCTGTCATTAGCATTTTGGATGATATAGGCTATCTAGAAAAAAAAGAATATTTTGTATCAGCTCTGTTAGTAAATTGCTAATTCCCCAACTCTTAATATGCATACATTGTTTTATTTCACCTGAAATATAACTCTTAGCATAGATTCATAGATGCTAGGGTCGGAAGGGACCTCAACATATCATTGAATCCGACCCCCGGCCCTAGACGGGAAAGAGTGCTGGGGTCAAATGACCCCAGCCAGATGCCTATCCAGCCTTCTTTTAAAGACCCCCAAGGTAAGGGAGAGAGCCACCTCCCTTGGAAGCCCATTTGAAATTCTGGCCACCCTTACCATGAAGAAGTTCTTCCTAATGTCCAGCCTAAATTTGCGCTCTGTCAGTTTGTGACCATTGTTCCTTGTTACCCCAAGAGGTGCCCTGGTGAACAGAGCATGTCCGATTCTTTGTTTCCCTCCCTCTAATGAAAAATTTCCACCACTAGAAAATCATTCTGGGGGAGGGAGCAGTACAAGCATTTAGCCTGCAGCTGCCTCCTCTCCCCTGGTCCTTGTGTCTTTCTGAGACCAGGGTGATGCTGGTCAGGGGAAAATGTGGGCGGCAGCAGGTGCTCCAGTCCTCCCATTCCTGGGAACAAAGTGAGTAGCTCCTTCTCACAACAGAGACTACTTCGAGGAGCAGTCAGGGAGCAAGGAATGGCTGCTCATCCACTCAGCTCCTAATGCTTCCATAAGATATTCTTGCTGCCCCCATCTGGTACTGGGAGCCAGCTTAGGCTCTGCCTCCCCACGCCCAATTCCTGGTCCCCAAGCTTTGCTACCAAGTTCTACATTAAAAATATAACTTTTTGGCCTCTGTCTTTTTATCCCTATATTGGACTGAAATTCTAAGGGAGGGAGGGTGGAGACAGGCAGACATGGCATTCAAAACCTAAGGGCTGGGAACTTGGCTGGGGCTAGCAAGAATAGAGGGGCAGTGTATAAGCATTCACTCTTACAATAGAATGTAAGGGAGATTTTCCAGGTTAAGTCCTCAAAGATCTTCTCCTGGAAGAGGCATGTTTCTCCTGGGAGAAATTCAGTGAATCTGGGTTTGACCCACAAAGTCCTAAATAATCTGAATGTACACTCCATAACAAAGGGAAGATAGATATGAAATGTGAGGGGAGATTTACTGCATTTTTATTATATATAAACAACCTGCTTCTGTGGAAATGAAATATATAATTATTAGCCAATACAACCTGCAGCTGGCTAAATGTGAATTAGGCCCTGATACACAAGACACCTAAGCTTAGTACCTATACCTCTTTCATTTCCTTCATGAATGTTGATGCATTTGTTTCTATATCATCATCCATACCAATTCTAGTAAAAATTTGTTCAGCAATTCTGAAAGAAGAATAGTCTGCTGGAACATAAGAACCTACAAAATAAAGAGTATAAGATACTTTATATTATGATCAGTAGCAATCTTATTGATAAAAACATCCTTATTTAATATTGATATAAAATGCTATCTTCTTTTCAGAAATGCATTTTACTGCTCATAATTAAAAGAATATCAAGAAAAATAATACAAATAGCATGAAAGAGTACTTATCAAACTACTGCTCACCAATCTGTGCCATAATTTGACATAGTGCAATCTGTTTTAGGTAAGTTGATTTTCCACTCATATTTGGTCCTGTAATAATGACAAAATTGCTTCCCTCTGTGAGATATGTATTGTTAGGAATGGGTTTTTCCAGAGATATCTTTTCAAGAATAGGATGCCATCCCTGCTTGATTGCTAAGGTATCAGTGAATTCTGGGCGAACTAAACGAAAGGAAAAATGATAAGATATACATTAAGCATTGAACATACAGTATTTGCTTACATCTAAGTTGACCCTGACTTTAAGATGACCCGCTAATAATTAGATTCTACACATGGAAACTTTATAAATTTGTTATAATTTTCCAGGTATAGAATCTAATTATCACATGGCTGTCTTGAATTCATCCCCCTTCCACTGCTACAGCAGTGCTTTGTCCTCTGTCCTTTGTCATTCCGCAACTTCTTCCCTGTGCAGTCTTCCTGACCCCTGCCACCAGCACCTCCTTACCCCCAGCTCCCCACAGTGCCTCCCCTCCACACTTACTTACAGAAACTGCTTGGGTTCTATTCCCTCCTGGAGCATAGCACGTGGAAGCTCAAACCCTGCCAGGCCATGCAGCGGTGTTGGCATTGATTGAATAGGCAAAGGACACAGTTTTATTGTGCTTGGTGCCAGGAGGGAATCCAGCCCAAGCTGAAGCTGAGCTGTGCCTGACAATAAGAGGGAGGAAAGGGACAGAGGGGGTCAGAAGCTGCAGAGGACAAGCAGACAAGGCTGTAGGAGGTCTGATTCTGGCTCTGACCTGGGCTTGTAGTCAGACTCAGAGCCACAACAGCTGCCTGCCACAGCCCCCACCCTGTCGACTTTGTATAAAAATCTAAGATGAGTGGGTTTTTTTCTCCCATTCTGACTGGGGGAAAAACCCGCATCTTAAGATTTGAGTAAATGTGGTGTGCGTGTGTGTGGGCTTCCATCAATTATGAAAAAAATGTTCAAATAAGTGTCACTCTTACAGAAGAAAGCAGAGCTCCATGGACTTGATTCTGTTACTTCTACTTTTGTTAAAAATTATCTTACCACATGTGTAGTTCAGTAGTCAGTGGGACTATTCACAAGGAAGGTACTATTCAATATGAGTAAGGATGGCAGAAGGAGGATATTTCCATGTAAAAGACCTGGCTTATAGCTATCAAATCAGTAAGACAGCGCACTTGGGAAAACTAATGGACTGTTTTCCAGTGGAGATTGTGTCTTATATACAAGTCTTCATGATTTATTACAAAAAAGTAAAATGCTGTCCAAACTCAAACTAATATTCAATGACTGCATTCAGCAACAAGTGACATAAGACATGAGTAATAAAGGAAAGAAAAATATGAGAAATGAGACTATAAAAGTAACTCATACACTAAAATGAAACTCTGTTTTAGCTTTATAGATGACTCAAGTATGAAAAGATAAAATACAAGTGTCATGAACTAAATCTGATACTATTATAAAGGAATATACAATATAAACACAGGGAACAAGGGAATAGCCTTCCCTACATTTTTATTAATATTTGCTGTCTATAAAGATCTGGGGAGTCTATCTACTTGCAACATTTCTGTTTGCTGTTGAGATTTTCTGTGTGCATTTCTGATGAATTACCAAGTTCCAAATTCAAAATAGAATTTTTGCCCTCTTTATCTTTTTATCATTATCTTGGATTGAAATTCTAAGGTGTGTTGGCACAGGATCAACAAATGAAAGTCAATACCTTTGATGACTTTCCATTTAAATGGACCACCCTTGGACAAAGAGGTGGACAACAGAAGGGGATAACAAGTTTTTCAGGTGTGCACTCCAGAGAACAGTTAACTAAGCTTATTAGAAAATTTTAATAATTTAAAAGGGCAGATTAGAGAGCTATCTGATAAAGGCGATTGGAAGAAACAGTATTACATAAGGCAATTAGGGAGAGAGAGAGCAAAACAGATCAGGCTTATACTACAGTTTTGATGGTGTAACTATATAGGTGAGGTGAAAGACAAAAAAGCCATCCCCGGACCCATATGTCAAAAAAGCTTCAAAGCCATCCCTGGACCCATATGTCTAATCCTGCAAAACCTCTGGTAAGAAGCAAGAAGGGTGTTTTCGTCAGTTTAGCTAATGACTGAGGAGATGATGCACCAAACGCTGGCACATGCTGCTTTCTCTGAGGAAGCTCTTCTAATTTGGCTATGATGGCAAACATAACAAGCCCAGAGAGTGTCTGAGGTGGGGAGCTTGAATAGGAAATCCTGGTCACTTGTTTTCCCTGGATAGCAGTGACACATGGGGCAGCATCAGTGGGCTGGGCTACCAGCAGCAAAGGCTGGGCCAGCAATGCAGTGGCTGCTGTTTTTGCATTTCTCCCCAATCTGCAACTCAGGACCTGGGACTGCTGACCTAGTTGCCCACCCTTGGCTATGCTACTAGGAAAAGCAGATGGAAACAGGTTATTCCATGTTCCAGAAAAGAAACCATATGCAGGATTTGAAATGGGAGGAGGAATCCTGGATCAGAGGTCTTTGAGGAAGTGGTGGCAATCATTTCTATTCTGTTCAGACTTGTCATTACTTCTTGTGCCCGTTAAACCATGACTAGCTTTTGAAACCCTTGCAACTATGTAAAGGATTTCAAAACAGTAACTATGCATCTGTTTTGCCATTACACATCTCTGAAAAGGTGACCTGTAAACCCCAAGTGCCCACAAAGCTGGAGTTTTGGGGTAACTGGTGGCCCATAAATGTTTAAGTTGCTGCCTGCCAGGTTTGTTAGTGCAGCTGCCAGAGCTACTGTGTTGGTGCAGCTTCAGAACCCACAGGGTGAATGCTGTTGCTACTTAGCCCCCCAATCCCTTTCCCATCACCAAATTTGGAATCTTTGGTCACTGTTGGTGACTAAAATTGGTGGCAAGGAAAAAGAGGGGGCATGAAGTAGTAGTGTTCATCCCCTAGGTTTTAAAACTCATGTTTATCATTAGTTGGGGGATTTGATGGGCAAGTTCCATTTTGGTGAAGGGACAGTAGTCAGATAGTCCATCCCAAGCAAAGTGCGTCAGAGAGGCTGGAGCAGGAGATACTGACTGGAGTCTACTTTTACCCAAGGAACCTAAAAGTAAAAGTCCCAGAAGTCAGAATCCAAACACAGCAGCCTGGTGACTGGTCAACTAGGCCGTGTTCACCAGGGCTTTGCAGAATAACTAAGAAGGAAACTTACCATAGTCAGAAATAGTGCAGGTGTGGGCAAATGACAGCAGCATGTCCAGCATGGATACAGTGTCAGAAAGTTTGTACAGACAATGAATATGTTCATAGATCTCGCTTAGTAGTTTACACACTATTCTGTAAGCAGATGGTTATTATTCAGTTCTGGTATATTAAATTTAATTGCCTTACATATTTTACAGAAATAATGCAATTATTAGCTTAAACTGTTAACATGGTATTTAATAGCATGACAGACACTTTCCAAATGAAAACCAGAAATATGGGCAAGTCTGTGAATTTCTGAATAACATATTAAATGGAGGAAGGAGGGAAATTATCAACCTCTAGGCTAATTCTGTTATCAGATTGTGGCTATAACTCCCACTGGCTTGCAAGAGAGCTGTTTCTGCAGAGCTCGTTCTCTAAAATACAGCTTAGGAATCAATAGTATTTTATTATTCTCCAGAGTATGACTTTTCCATTCCCTGAGTTCATGGTTCAGGATAAATTCCAAGGAAAGGAACGGCCAAAATGGGCCATTTATTGTCTGTGCTAGCTTTACAAAATTGATAAATTTGCTGCATCTTTTTATGTTAATAATACCCCTAGAAAATGTTTAATATTTGTGATGAATAATAGGGCTGTGTGAAGCTTCGGTTGCTGATTCGATTTGGAGGAGATTCGGCCCGATTCAGCAGCTGAATCTCCAAATCTGAATCGAATCAGGAGACCCATTAATCTCTCCAAATCAAATTAGAAGCCTCCAATTCAATTTGGAGAGATTTGATGATTCTGTCATAGACACAGCTTTACATGTTTTTTCTACATACCTCAAGATACTAGGCGGCCCATGAACGCTGAGATGGTGGGGCGGATGGAGTGCCCCATGGGAGTGTGGGGGGGTCCCCAGCATGCTCAAAAGCAGACGAGGAAGTGGACCATAACATGCGAGGGACCCCTGCATGCCTCCTCTCTTGGTGACTGGTTCTTCTTGGGTCTGGGGGGGCGGAACCTGGGCCCCCCCCCCCACAACTGATTGCTCAACCAGCATGGGGTCCCCTGTATGCTCGGTGGTGAACCTGGAAGTGGACCAGAAGTACTTCCAGTCCATTTCCAGGTCCACTGCCAAGCACACGGAAGGCCTGCCTGAGCTCCTGTGGGATGCTCCATCTGCCCCACCATCTCAGCATTCACGAGCTGTGCCTGGTATCTCAAGGTATGTAAAAAAACATATAAAGCTGTGTCTATGTCCAAATCGCTGATTCGCTGAATCAGAATTGAATCTTCAGATTTGGCCAAATTGAATTGGGACAGCGATCCAAATCAGCAAATCGAATCACTGTCCTCCAAATTGGGCCAAATCTGAATCTGAATCGAATATGGCCCACTTTGCACATCCCTAATGAATAACTTCCTTTTATGTATAAAACTTAATACATTTCAATCATGAGTTAATATAATTTGGCCTTTTAATTTTCTCTCTCATGATGTGTACTTGTACCCTCTCTGTACAATGTTAGACTACTCTTATAAATGACCATAATTTAACAAGCAAAACTGGTTAGAAAACTTTGTAATTACTTGTTAATGTGACAGAAATCAAGTTACCATAAATATTACAATGTTTGAAACAATCTTACAAGTAGGTCATGTGATAAATTTCTCTCAAAGACTCCTGGCACCTTTCATTCATTTTAATCACATCTGCTGAAGTAAAGCTATATGTATTTTTTATTTTAGTAATCTGTAGAGAAATGCCAAATAATCACAATTAACAATGATTTCCAAAAAGCATAAAACATAATTACTTCACTGCAGTTTCCCTAAATCAGCATGAAAAAAAGAAAAGAAAATGACATTATCAGAATGATGATACACCTTTAGAGCATTGCATATTATCTGACAATTGAATATTATGATACATACAGAAATAATACACCATATAAAAGAACAAAATCAAATAAATTCTAACCTAATTTACTTTCATTTAACTTCACTGGTCATTAATTTCATGACAAAGCATCTTTAGAAGAATATGTACCTTTGTGAATTCTGAAGGAAGCTGACCATTGGATAAAACTGCAGAGTCTGCATTCATCTGGATAAAAAATCCACGAGAAGAACTGAAACTCGTCTTCAAAGGGAGGTTATATTTTTCTGCAAGCTGTGTTATCATTCCTATTGCAATATGAGGGGGAAAAACAGCTATAACTGAAACACTTTGTAATGTATTATAAAACTTGTAATAGCTAAACACTGAAGTCCAGTAAATCAGAATGCTTTGTTGGGACCTTGGAAGGAATATTGTGTGGAGTTGAAAGAATTCAGATAACCATTTAAATAAGAGCTCTGACAGCACAGAACCAGTGGATACAAACTATCAGAAGAGAACTCTGGTATTCTTTTAAAAAGATTATTAATGTTATAATAATGTCTGAGAGATATCAAGGTTGGCTTTTCCCTCCACTAGGAAGAAAAATTTCCCTTAAAAATTAAGTTCAGATGGGTCCACTGTTCAGCTAGTGATGTACTGTCCTGTGTTCTCAACAAGGATCTTAGATCTGGTATGCTCAGTCTTTTCCTACTTGCGACTCTAAAACAGTCCAGAAGTGCAGCAAATATGGGGAAAAGTTAGGGATGGAAATTACACACAAACCAATACAAATGATTGGAAACTAGTTCAAATCTGCAACACAGGACAAGTTCAATGCACATAAACTGCTTTCAAAGTGGCCAAAACCAGTTTAAGATAAACCTGGATGAATATCATATCAGACTTAACTGACTTAGGTTAAATCAGTTTATTGAACTTCTGCCACAGATCCCCCTCCAGATTCAAGTTAAATCAGTCCCAAAGCATCCCAGGATGCTTTGAACCTCCCTCACAAACCCTCCCCTTGCAGGGTGGGCAGGCTAGCTTTAGCCCATGCCATCTCCTCCAGCAGAGCAGGGAGGCATGCTCTAGTGCACAGGTAGACAAAATATGGCCCGCAGGCCAGATCTGGCCCACCAGGCCATTCTATCTGGCCTGCGGGGCCCCTAAAAAATTTAGAAAATGAATATTTATCTGCCCATGGCTGCCTGTCAAAGATGACAGGAGGCAGCGGCAGTAGGACCAGGGGGAGCCGGTGGCAGGACTAAGCAGCCACAACAGCAAGGTCAGCCCATCACCACCCTGCCCCACCCACTCGGAAGCCTTTGTCTAGCAAAGGCTTCTGGCCTGGGACCCTGGGGCTGTTCCCACCTCCCTGAGCCAGAGGGAAATTCAGATAAGAAGGAGGGGAGGAGGCAGGGAAGGACCACGGGCAATCACCCCAGTCCTCAGGGCCAGGCCAGGCAAGCTGCTGCAGTCCTGGCACTGTACCTGGGAACCATTTGCTGCTGGAGCAGCTGGTGGGTGGAGCTGGGGGGAAGGAGAAAATGGCTGCAGAAGGCAGGGGGAAGGGGCAGCGAGAGGGCATGTGGAGCACAGTAACTGCTGGGCAGGAGTGTGGGGCCTGTGCCAGTACACCAGCACAGGCCCCATGGGGCTCCCACATAGCTGTCATTGCACTCCATGTGTCCATTCGCTGCCACTCCCCCACCACCTGCCTCAATCATTTCCCTGCTTTCTTGCCCACAGCTGCCGCCGCTCTGGCACCACATGGTTCCAGGCTGCAGTGCTGGGCTGCAGGACTCAGCAGGAACTGGTCCAGCCCCTACTATTCTCGGCTTGCTCCATGCAGTACCAGCTGGTCCAGTCCAGTTCTTGCTGCATTCTGCAGTCTCGGCCATGCATCTAGGACAGGGGGCGGGCGGGTTGGAGGGGGAACAAGGAAGCAGCTTGAGAAGGGCAGCAGTGGCAGACAGGAGGGGGAAGTGGTGGCAAGCAGGAGCACAGGGCCCGCATGCCCCAGTGCCAGGAATGGCAGAAGCATGGAGCCCAGGCTTGGAGGAACACTGGTAGGGGCTCTCTCTGCTGCAGGGGGAGCTGTGGGCAGGCTGTGGGCAAACATTTCCCCTCCATGCATGCCAAAGCTCTTCTCAGCCACCCTCCCCCCACACACTCACAGACCCCCACAAAACCCATGCCTACTCACACCTCACACATCCACACACACCCACATGCTCCTCCACCCAACAGATACACATGTAAATCAGGACATTAAAAAAAATGAGATTAATGAATGTTGTAGTACTTTTGATTTTTAGAATATAATTTGGTATTTTTCTGGTTCCAAGTTGGCAAACCCCCTTGCTGAAGAGTACTTTGGTGGGGCGGGGGGGGGACTTCTGGTGGCAAAGGTCAGGGGTTATGGGGCAGGACTTCTGGTCCCAAGATAGTGACATGGGGCAGGGCTGTCATGGGGCAGGGCTACCCTTGTGGCCCTCGATGGCTTGCCAAAACTCAGGTAGCAGTCTTCCAGCTGAAATAATTGCCTGCCTCTGCTCTAGTGCCCCCTGGCTTCTGGCCTGGGTCACTGTAGAAATGTGGCTGCATTTCTGGAATTAAAAATGAATGTCTGTTCACTTGCTCATCATTTCAATCTATGCATCTTTTACTAACCTACAAAGACTGAATTGTTTCAGCTTTGGGCTTTTTGACTGTCTGTACTTAGCCTAGGTATTCAAAAGGAGGGCTGTAGTGAAAGTAGACTGAAGAACCTATAAAGAGGAATGACATCTCCTATCCATGTACTTTTCTTTGGATTTCAGAACTAAGGAAATTATGGAAAAATGAGGGGAAAAAACTAAATACTTAGGCTGTTCACTCTGTGGTATAGAAAGTGTAAGATAAAACGCTAACATGAACCTCAAGATAATGGAAAGTATATTATTAGTTCTTAAATTTGGATCTTCAATTCAACACTCTTGCTAGCTAAAGTGTTAATCCATCTTATGATACCATTTGTTAACTGTCTACTCAGAAAAATTACAGAAGCCGTTCCAGGAGAAAAAAATACTCTTCACTTTTGACTGAGTCATGTTCACAAAAGAATAGAAGCATTTTTCCAAAATGTCTATTGTTCACTTTAGCTTAAACAAGATTAAGATGCAACTCATAAACAAAACAAAAACTGGTTAAAATATAAAGAACTGAGTACCTATCATTTTATATGTAATAACTTTATATTGACAATTGCAATTCTTTAAAATAATACTGTTTGAATACTTTTGACCAAATTTAGATCTGGCACATGTGGGTACCAAACTCAGTATTTATATGCATAGATTAAAATATGATTAACATCATGGTATTTTTGGCATACTAATTGCCAATTTCTACATTCTATTTTTCTAATCAAGGACACAATTTACATCAACATTGTTTGTCTTTTCCACATTAGAACATCAGCATAATACATTTTTACAAAATGTTATAGTTCTATGTAGCAGATAAAATGTATTTTGGAGTTTCAGTATATAAAAATATAAGTATAGAGATACCTGCTATATCATCCACTATCTCTGTGTATGTTCTACGAGCTATATCAAGGAATTCATTGATGTTTGGTCTTACAGCATAGCACTTCTGGGTCCTCATATTCAAGCATCCTTTTGTGTATCTGGTATCATCATTAATGACTGTCTTAATTTTTTCAAGTATGATTCCAAACCTGCACCGTGAATGACATCATTTATGGATTTAGCTATGCAATATTAAACAACAACATTATCGCCCAGAAATTACAAATAACTGAAGGCAGTACATGTTGGTAGCTTAAAATAAATATTAAAAACCGAATATATATTTTAAAATCTCAGAGGAACATATGGACAAAGTGAAATATGAGTGAAATGTGCTATTATCTGAAGACAGATAGACATAACAATATGCAATTATTACTGGTGAGTCTGAGAAACTGAAATATTTTTAAACTGATTTTCATTCAGAGTACTTGACTGTTTTAAGAACTTGTTTACCATTCATTCACCCAATTATTAAAGCCAACTTTGTTTTTATCTTGAATTTTTACTGTATCAGTTGAAAAGCTGAACTTCTAAAAACTTTACCAACTGCTTTTAAGAAGAACATAAAACAGGAGCTAAAACTACAAATATTTAAAGATGAAATCCTATAGCCAGCCTAAGGAGACAGTTGGATATAAAATCCATGAAAAAAAATATCATCATAGTACCGTTTATCTTCCAGAGAACTGTAGTATGCTTTTAGCAAAGGTGTCTTGCAGCTTCGTAAGGCAGCCTATTCAAAATGAAAATATAGTATAGTTACAGATTTAAATGTATAACCGTTTTCACAGTTTGTAAGGTATTTAGATTCACTTAGCCTTATTTGAGGTTAGGATTATATGAAACGAGCTCAAAAGGTCAGCAGGAATACATTTAAATTAACTATTTCTTATACAGTCAAGAATTCAGTAACATTATTAATTTAATTTGTAAAGTATCAGATTCAACAATATTTAAAAAAGATTAATATAAAAATAAATTTAGAGGTACAGTACTCCTCTTATTTTTCGAGGATGTTACTGCAGTAACAACATACAGTTCCATGAAAGGTAAAGTAAATATAATACACTAAATTGTGCAAAAATGAAGATCAACAGAAGGTTTGTATTTTATATGGATATAGTAACAGTATCACCTTTAGAGGATCCACAAGCTCTAGGGTATGCTTCAGGTAGATTAAATTAGTTATTTTTGATTCAGCTGCTTGAACCTGTTGAAAAAAATATTATCAATATAAAAGGAATATACTTTAAAATAGCATGTTTCAAAACTATCATGAACTTTAAACACATTCTAAATGTGTCGTTTCATAAATCACTGAATATATGAAAAAACTCCTACCTGATTCTAGAAACAGGCTTTGAAACATTTGTAAACTTTCTATGTAACTATATTTTAAAAATACTTATTGTAAATGAGACATCTTACTTTTTGAGAAAACGAACAGTTACTTACACCATTGTAACTGTGGATCTTTGAGATATATTGTCCATATTAATTCCACTTCTTAATTTCCCAAGATTACTTGTATCATGCCTTACCATAATCTATGTTGACAGCTTCTGAGTGGGACAGTTTGCCTTTCATCCTGTCAGCAAATGCTAAAAACAATCTAGGAGATACGTAAGTCTCTATGACTGTTGTAAAGCAGGGACATGGATCTCAACCTCCAGTACATGGAGTACTGAAGAACGGCAGGCTGTATCCTCTAAGAGGGCATATAACCCACCAATTTTAGAAAATTATGACTTAGTGAACCTGAAACTGCTTGATGAGGTTGAGAATGGTAAGAAATCTATCCCGTGGTAGGTGATCCTTCATCATTGTATAGTCCAGAAGTACCCCTTTAAACTTTAGAGTCTGAGTGGATCTTGCTTTGATGATTCTGAGGTCCCCGAAGTATCAACATGTCCTAAATGATTCAGATTGACTCATGTCTATTGAGACTGAAATCCTGGATCAGCTACTCATTGAGAAATGTATAGACTTGGACTCCCCAACTCAAAAGGAAGCCCATCACTATTACCGGATACTTGATGAACACGTTCAGGGCTCTGTAAAGATCAAAGGGAAGCACTATGTACTGGGTAAGGAGATTTTCCCACAATATACATGTCTTGCAAGTTAAGAGTCATGAAACAGTCTAAAGAACCTAGAATAGGAATTACAGATGCTAACATTACAATCTTTAATTTGAATTGATGGATGAATTTTTGAGCTACCAAAGGTCTAGAATGAGGTGTCATCCCTTTTTCTTTGTGAAAAGAGACACCCCACTTTGCATTTTCACAGGCAACTCTTTCACAGCTCTGAGCTGCAGGAGTCAACAATATATCTTGTGAAAAGTTAGGGAGGTTAGGAAGGGATTTGAACTTAAGGTTAGGGAACTGAATAGAGTACATCTTGTCCATATTTGGGACTTCATGGTCTCATGTGGTTGGGTTTCACATGCACTAAAATGAAAATAAATGGTTTTCCCAAAGAGGTGGGGCAAGAATCTTTTTGATCTGTGAGGCTTCTGAGCATGCAATCAGATCTGCTGAAAAGAACTGGTGGAGAACTTGCAGAAAAAGAGGAAGAGTCAGAGGATATCCTCCTTCCAGAACTTGTCCCAGCAACTTTTGTGGCTCCGACAATCTCTTTTATATGCAGGTAACAAACAACACAGTTGTTTTGCTGGTGCCACTAAGACTTGGACTACCTGTTCTCTTGGGAACCAGGTCCAATGCTTCACTATATTTGTAGTCATATTTCAAGTCATTCTACCCAAACGGTTGAGGGCAGTTTGCAGCAAGGTTCAGAAAGCCAGGTGCTCCTTCTGGCTCAATGATTTACATTGCTCCCTCTGTTCATGTGAGTAATCTCAATGATTTGAGACATGCAGTCCCAATTAAAGGCCTCATATTTGACAGGGGTACTTGATACTTTACAACCTGTGTTTGCAAATTGACACGTACAATTACTACTAACATGGCTGAGTTTCTAAAATTCTTATCTCTGGGGTTGCCTTCAGCAGTCCCTGCTATTTCTACCTCTCCTGGATTATAGGAATGATTAAGAAGCCTCATGTTATATATAATAATACAACACTATAAATATAAAATATTCAAATATGCAAAGCCCTTGGAGGGGACCCAGTAATGGCCATCCACTTCCTTGGAAGTGGGATCACTGAAGCAATCATTCATTCAGTGCACTTATTTCACATGGAACATGAAGCAGTGGAGTGAGCTCCAAAACTATTTCACTAGGTTCTTTTTAATTCATTACATTAAAGAGCACTGTTTGTGTCACACCAACAAAGTCCAAGCTGGCCTTGTTTTCTTTTCTCAGCTGGTCTCCATTCCAGTGCTTGTTATGATAGATTGGATGGTTTTTAATTTATGCAAATGCTATACAGTTTATGCCTGTGCTTGTTACCCGGTAACAACATTCTTATACTTCCTCTAATATCTGTGTGCCAAGTTGTATTACTACTGGCTCTTGCGGGTTATGAGCAGGGATCCTGGTTTTCTCTGATTTAAAAAAAATCCTAATTGACCTCATTTGATGCCAACGTGGTTCAAAATTAAATAGGCATCAGGCAGGGTGGTGCATGATCTCTACTAAGTTTTGCAATTGTTATTAACTGGAGCTTGAAATGCAGTGGCTCAGTGAAGGTCTTTGCCAATAACATTGCAATGCTAGCAGGCAACACCTGCAGTATGTAATAGATGACAAGCAGCTTCCAAAGGCAAGCAGAAAAGGTGGGCTTGAAAAACACAAGGACAAAACTTGTGTCTGCTCATAACCAGTGATCCTGGTTTTCTCTGACTTAAACCCCCTCCCCCCCAATTTTCAGTTAAAAAAAGTAACCCCAAATCCACATTTTTTCATGATTAAAATGAAACACCATTTATATATATTATAAAAACGTGTATAATATATATAAATGGTGCTTCATTTAAATAATAGAAAAATGTGGACTTGGGATTATTTTTTTTAAACTGGAAATTGGGATTTTTTTTTTATTAGGGAAAACCAGGATCCCTGGGTATGAGCAGACACGAGTTTGTCTTCTTTGGGTTTTTCAAGCCCACCTTTTCTGCTTGCCTTGAAAGCTACTTCTCATCTCTTACATACTGCTGGTGTTGCCTGCTAGCATTGCAATGTCATCAGCGAAGACCTTTACTATGCCACTGCATTTCAAGCTCCAGTTAATAACAATTGCAAAACTTAGTAGAGATCGTGCACTACCCTGCCTGATGCCGATTTAATTTTGAACCACATTGACATCATACTTTTAAGTTCAATGCAATATTCTGAGCCATCATCCAGAGCTTTAGTCCTGCCTAACTGCAAACTTAAGTTCTGATGGTGAAGATGTCAGAAGAAGAACCACTAACACTAGGAGACACAGAACATTACCAGTGTGTGGATGCCATTTGCACTAAAGACTACTCCTTTTGGTGGCACCCCTTCTTCAAGGTTAAAGGTGAAACAATATATTCCTGGGCTGGGGGTCAAATGAGGTTCTGTTTGTAGATCTTCCATAAAGGCTGTTTTTGGTATTGCCTATCAGTGATAAACTCTTCTGCTCACCCCAATGGGTTCCTAAATGGTGGCCATATGTTGAATGGGTCTGGCATCTGACAGTACTGGATATTAAATCTGCTTGGGTCTACAGATGAAGAATTGAACTTCAGGTCACCATGACATCCTTGATGTTTGCAGTTTCTCTCTCTTCCAAGAATTTGATTTAGGATTCAATCTGTAAGAATAATTGGGCTCTAAAGGCCAGAACTGGAGCATGGTTAAAAGAACTAGATCAAAGAAATGGGTGTTTAATGTGGGACCTATAGAATATGTATGAAATCTAATAATGTCAATTAGTTATTTTGTCACTGCCTAGGTGAGTTGGTCTGGGAAATCATCAAATCTGTTTTTGTGTATTATTTTAAATATGTCCATGTTGCCCAGGATGTTACATGGGTATGCTCGTGTATTACTCTCTGTATAACTCTAACTATATAAACACATTTCTTGGCTGAAATTATTCATTTTTTATTAATAAAATATGCTCCTACAGGTATATACTTTCATCTTCTGGATGAGGAGGTATATGTATAAATCACTGTATCTTGTGTTATGTTTGTATCTATAACACTATGTTCCATCCTTTCCTAAGATGCAACCTTTTTTCTTACAATATATTGCTACTTTGTAGATATATGTTTACATGTTTCATACTCTGTTAAGATTTCATAGACTTCTAGGGCCGGAAGAGACCTATTAGATTTCATGGATATCATAATGCATGTCCACGAGGGGCCAGCAGGGGAAATTATGCTTAGGGGCAACCAACACTGGTTCATTAGAGGCAGGTCCTGTCAGACCAACCTGGTGGCCTTCTATGACCAGG